CCTCATCTGACCATTTTTATGATTTATAAATCCAAATATTGTTACTCATTTACCACCCGTTAGCCCAACACGCTACTATTTAGCATTTCTTTGTTCTTTAAAATGATTTCTTGTGGATTTTACTGCTTTTTACTCCTTTCTATATAGACACAGTATCTGCAAAATATTTTACAGCATCAGTGGACTCAGTTTTCTTAAAAAATATGACTTTAAAGTAACATAAAATGATGTTGGCTCATTATTCTGATGGTTTCAGAAAACAAACAACAATAGATGTAGCTATTAAACATGGTGACAGATTTGTTTTCATGGTAAAGGCCTTGCAGTGAATAATTGATTCATACTGGTGGAGGCTGACAGGTCTTGCTGTATTTTATGTGCAGATGATACTGTAAAAACCGCGTTATGCGACCATTACTTTTATTACTGGCTGTGGGAGTTTGGTCACCGACGCTTGGAGGCGTATTTCATTTAAAATGGGAGGAAAGCTGAAGCCTCATAAATCTGATGGAATAAAAGATTTAGTCTCTTCATTGTTCTTGCTTCTTTTCTTTTTTCCCCAAGAAAAATCTTAATCTAATTATAATTTCAAGAGCACCACAGTGAAATGGCATTTTCCAAATCCCGCAGCGGCCCCGTTTATGACTCCAGGAGGATGAAACTTCCCGTCTTCTCTCTGTCTCTGCGTACCCTTTTTATGACATTTGCAGCAGATTTCCTGGAAATGTATGGCCCTGTTAGGGCTCCTTAATTTGAGCCACAGCCAGCCGGCCTGGCCACAGCGCAGTGCCAGCAGAGGAGGCCATTACGACTCTGGTCTGGGTTCAGCGATGACCTCGGTCACAGATGACATAAGAAAGAGTCATTTGCTTCGCTGGACTCTTTCAAACTTAGTGGAGCTTCTTCTTCTGCCGTCGCTTTCATTGAATTACTACTCTCAAAACCAATTTGGGCTGTTCAGACAAGCGGAATACAACTTTCCCAAATGGAAATTCAAAATCGATACAAAAAGGGCGAAGAAAATTGGCGGCTAGTTTGGGTCACTCTAGCACAAACTCCTCCAAAAATGTCAGATTTCAAAATAAATGACGCCATTATCAATCTGCACAATTTACATTTTTGTTGATTTTTTTTTAAGTTAAATTTGAAGATTAAACTTTTTTTTTTCAATATTTCATGCATTTTTATTTGTACCAAAATTTCTCCATTTAATGATAAAGTAAAAAAAGAAAGCCTAAAATGTATCTGAATTGTCCAACACAAAAAGCCTTCAATCATTAATTCAGGGTTTCACCATATTTTTTCTTGTCTTTCTTTGCAGATGATAATCTGGCTTTTTTGTTGATTTTGGAGTAATGTCTTCTTCCTCTCTGATTGGCCTTTCAGTACAAAACCAATTTTCATGTGGATAATCAAACTAGCATCTTCACAGAGTCTCATTTAGGTGCAGCATTGATGAAAACAGCTCAACAAAACAAATCCACCTTCTAAATAATCGTTTGAACGAATGAGAGCTGCAACTTTTGGCATCTGGAAATTAAACTCTAGAATAAAACTGACTTTTTTTATGATGGTACACAAATAACCGCTGTGTTTAACCTAATAGAAGCTCCAGAGCCAAGACTTTTTAATTTAAAAACAGCAATAAACAATCTTCCTTTTACTAAGCTGACATTTAGCAAACAGAAGTAATTTTGGTCATTTTATCTGAACCAAAACATAGTCAGACTTAACATCAGACCCAAGGTTTTCCCCAGAAAACTTGCTAACCCCGCTGGTTGGGTGCTAGAGCGGTCATTCATCTAGCGGCCCGTCATGTTTTTGAGTTAAAAATGTTTAAAATTGACAGAAGATTTGAGAATATCACCTGGTAATTATGTATTGGAAGATTAATACCTGAACACCAACTAAAAAGACTTAAAAATGCAAATGTTTAATAAATAAATAAGCAATGCTAAGCCTGGTGGGAGCAACAAGTAAAGCCTGGTGGCCCGCCAGGCTTACAATGAGACCCATCTAGTTTTTAACTGTAGCTAGATCAATTTGGTGATTTTCCACAGGATCGTGCTTTAGAGCAGAAACAGTCAACCGACACACATTGTGAGGTTACAGCATTTGGTCACTGTGGGAGTTCAAGGCATCGAGTCAGAGACGCCATTCAGTGATTGTAACTGCATGTGATCAGGCGGTGCTATGACAGCTTCTCATGTTAAATAAAACAGAGTCAGGATGACGAGAGGTTTCTGCAGGGCGATGCATATGAGCTGCATGTTTCTGCAGAGGTTTGCATGCATGTCACATGTTGACTGTTTTACAGCAGAAACAGAGAAGAAGCAGGAATGTAAACATGATGTCATTCTGCACTCATTCAGTCAGGAGTCAAACTACATCCGGTATGGATGCCAAATTTCAGTCTATGTATGCCAGAAAAGTTCTGGATGCCTCAGGGTGAATTTACACAAGTGCTGATTAGTTCGCTCTGATCGAACTCCACAAACTCTGGTTCGTTTGCCTAAAACTCTGGTTCGTTTGCCTAAAACTCTGGTTTGTTTGCCTAAAACTCTGGTTCGTTTGCCTAAAACTCTGGTTCGTTTGGGAAGGTGTGAATGTCTAATCGAACTCTGAGGCTTTTTTGAGTGTGTCACCGCTGTAAAAGCAGGAAGTGGTTGATGGTGCAGGGCATTCTGGGAAAATACAACCAAAACAAACATGCTAGCTTAGCGCTAGCGGGAAGTATGGCTCGTGGCATTTTACCAAAGACAAAAGAGAACTTCTACAACCGCTTAAATCTGACGCTACTCCATTTATTAAAAAGAAAGTTGAGCTCATGTCTTTGTCAGAGGTTTTTGAGTCGTTTCTTTCAGTGGTTTTTGGTGCAGCGCCACCACAGGCGAGGAGGGGAACCGGCTTATCAAATGGTTTGGATCATATGGCGGCGAACATGTAGCTGAAAATGTAGCAAATGTTGCAATTTTGGTCTCCAACAGAACCAATTAATCAGACTATCAGGAGTGAAAACAGCCTTTATAACTTGTTTGAATATCATTAAATTAATAAATATGAGGTGTAAAGACAGCAGACTAAATTAGAAAGCCATCTCTCACTGGAAATTGTTTGCTGCTGACGCAGAAAAATGGCAAAATGATCCCTGACCTCTTAATGCTGAACCAGAAAATATTTTTTTAATAAAATTACAAAATACTGATTGTTGAGAAAACAGTTTTGATTGTCGTCCAGGCGCCTGCGTGCCATTATTTGCAGGTTTCCAGGTTAACTACAGACATGCTGCAGGCCTGACCTTTATCTCCCAGTATAATTGCTTCTTCTCTGCAGCAGGACCTTTTCTGTAGTAATAGTTTCATTACAGCAGATTCTGTTATGGACCTCAGCAGTCTCATTCACTGCTGTGATTTGCTCTTTCACATTCCTCAGTTTGTCAGATACCTGCTGCTGCCCAAGTCTCACCTTTTATTCAGCCGAAATGTGATTTCTATTTCACGAGAGGCCAAAGTGCAACAGAAGACACCAGGATAACAGCTGAGGTTTGACCTGCACGCCCAAAATCAGACCAACAGGAGGAGGATTTTCTAACAAAAACCACATGCAGTTGGGGATTTTACTGCCTTGCATTCATCTAGTGAGATAAACAAACTGAGAAGAAATGTCCTGTAAACCAGGGAGCCAAACTTTTAACACTGGGACTGGAAGACATTTTAAATATCTGAAATAAACAAAAACAGGAACTACAAATGAAACAAATTGTAAACAAAATTGGCCTTCAAATAAATGGCTAGTTGAGACCAAACCACCAGAATGAAGACAAAAGAAAAACAATAAATCATTCAAATGGAAATTACTGACATCGTTTTAATTTAAATTTTAATTAACCTGTTAATTTTAAATTAATTTGATAACTCTGCACCAATGCAGCACACTTAAATAAAGCAAAAGCTGCAAAAAGCACAAGCTAAAAATGTAAAAATGAGACAAATTTAGTTTGTTCTGTCATCAAATGTAAAATAAATATTAACACAGGACGAAAAATGGGATTTTCGGCAGCTATTGACACCTTGTTCTGCCGTGCGCATAGAGATTGAGGGCTTTCGGCAAGAGGTTTTTGTCAGAGTCGAGCACTGCCAAAAATGGTCAAAAATGCTGTGTGTCCGTGTTCCCCTATCACCCCCCTCCCCTTGTGCCTAGCAGAGGTTTTCGTATTTAAATGAAGTTGCTGAGTGCCATGCAAATGCAAATCAACTGTTGAGCATGGCCTTTTGACTCTTATTTATTTTGTAGCCAACCCTTTTTACCTTCTGTTCACCATAAAGAAGTGTTTGGAGAAAGAATATTAAAACAATCTATCTTATCCATTAAAATATATATTACATGTGTGTTAGGAGCACTGAAAAACTTAGTTTTGGTTGAATTGATGATATAAAAGAAGAATATGCATAATTACATACAATAGACTTTTGTGAAACGTGATCTTACTTTGACATTCCTCCTATCTGAAGATTTATCTTGTGATGGGAGGAATTGCACAACTTAATCAAAAATAATAATAAAAAACATGTTCCAGAGTGGTTCATTGTACATAAAGTATTTTTGTGAATAATATTCAAACTAATGTTAATGTTCACTGATTGCTTTAAAGACCCAGAGTCATGCTATATTGGAGTGGTAGTGACACCGTTCCACATCACAATACAGGACTTAAGAAACTACAGATGATTTATCAGTATTCAGTTGCTTAACTCTCGAGTTTAAATTTTAGAATAAAATGGTTGAAAGTATGTGATACCTTCTGATAGAGTATAAACATTTGCATTCTTTTTTTAAAGTTTGTTAGTTAAGCACTAAATATAACTCACGGATTATGAATCGTATTCTGTATAAACTAAAAAGGAGACAGCTCAAAGTAGAATTGAGTAAATAAACATCTATTTAAAAACATTTTAGCAATTAATTATAATAAAAATAAAATATACTGTCACGTAACTTCTGAAAAAATAACTTTTTAGAATGTATTTTTTTTCTGTCAACTTTCATTTAACACTCCAGTCCAGTTGGTGGCAGTAATGCGCTTTCATAGTTGGTCAAGCAGCCGCCATTAAACTCCAGAGGAAGATTTGCACCGGCTACTGCTAAACCCAACATGAACGAAAATGCCCGTGCGTTGTGTGAAATGGTGGAAAAAGTCCTATTTCACATAGTTACCTTTTCAGTATCGTTTTGATATTAAGCAATGTCCCGGCGGAAAACAACAGATGACACCGCAGCGGTCCAACAAGGCCGAACCCACGGTAAGAAAACTTTAATGAATAGCGAGCGCGCGCAGCGAGGCGAGTTGCTTTGTTTTTTTTTTTTTTTTACAGAAAACGGTCTGTCGTTTTTTTTATGCCGAAACAAGTGTAGGGTGAGATTTCGTATTGTATTTTTTATTACATGTGATGTTCTGAACTCTTAAAAATACTCGCATCTTCTTTTATTTTTTCAGACCTGAAAAAATGGCCGAGCCTAAACAGCCAGGCCTCAGACCACGGTGCCGAGGCGCTCTGACGGAGTCCACCAGGACGAAGAGAAATTCAGTAAGTTATGATTTCACATTTAGTCAATAGTGAACACTCGCATATTTGTAAGGAAAACTGATCTTCCCGTTATTTTATTTATTTTGTTATAACGCAGTACAGCAAGGCAGAGTGTGGAAAGCAGTAGAGATCGACAACATGGCGGACGGAGGACGGATATGAGGACGACGTCATGAAGCCGGTATGTATTATGTACAGTCACTGCGTTGATTCCCGACTGTATAATGGTTGGTTGAGAATAATTTTAACTTATTTACTTATGTATTTTTGAGAAAGCGATATATTTGCTACAATATCTTTTTAATTTTACATTTATTTCCAGACACTCCACAGAATGGGAGTCACATTTGTGTCAATCAGACTCTTCAGGAACGTCCTGATGTCCGTGATGAGGACAGAGATGCAACTGTGTGTGAGTATCTACTATTTTAGAATGTTGATATTTTATGCTTCAATATTGTTTATGTACATAATGTAATTATGCTATGTATTGACAATGCACAAAAATGTTTTCCAGCTCCGTCCAGGACCGACTGCCAGTCATCCAGATGTAGCTAAAGAAAGAAGCAGGTAAGATTTATTACTAATCACAATTCCTTGAATGATTATACAAGGAATTATTGAATAATTTGTTGAATTATTCAATAATTCATTGATTATTATTCAATGAATGAATAATAATGATTTATTAAAATCCATCAAAGCAAATTATCTGCCTCAGAGTTTGTTGAACTATGTTTTACTATTTATTACCAACTGATTTTAATTATTTTTTCTTCCAATTGTTTCCAAGTGTTTTCTCTTTTTCATTAAAGTTTTTATTTTTTGTAAGAATGTATTAATGTGTTTTTTTGTTTGTTTATATAAATAATAGGGTGACTACTTTGGTCAAACATGTAAAAATAAACTGCAGCAAACCTTTCAAATAGCCCAGAAAGTGAAACAGGAATAAATGATGAATTTATTTTGACATCAGAACCGATACATATATTAATATTAGATCTAATTTAAAATTTGAAGAGCAAAACTTTGATTCCGTCATAAAAAGACGCCTGAATATGTCTTAATGACTTATTGACTCACATAATTAGCATAAATTCTGTGCTGAATTCAGGAAAGCGCCTCTTTGCTGTTAGCAATCAGAGAAATGTGCTCTTGTCGTGTTTTTCCTCTTGAAGTGGAACAACTCGATTATTTCCCCTCTTTTAAACAGTAAATAGATGCAGAAATTATTATTTTCATGTCAGATGCGACATACAGTCATCAGGATGCATGTAAAAGGGGGCAGGGTTTTTTTTTTTAGCTTCTGACATACATCTGAAACTAGTTTAGCAAAATCACGTGACTCAGTTGGACCAGACGAGTCGTGTGGAAGCAGATGTTTGACAGATGGGGTCATTTAGGGACACAATGACAGCCGGTCAATAAAACACCGGCAGGGAAATTACAGTGAGGCCACTCAGAGGTCTGTTACCATCACCTTTACAAATGTCCACCACCGCACACCGTTCTCCTTAACCCGTTAAACGCTGGCTTTTATTCTCACTCATTCACCGTCCGACAGATAAAAACGCCGCTCTCTGAATTCCCATGAAGGCCCGCATCTCCAGATTGGAACGTGCTCACCAGATGATAAGGACTATGATCATTTATTTCTGAGATCTAGTGGCTGGAGATAAGATGGGCCCTCAGCAACAATGGAGGGCCTCAGGGAGAGTAGATAATGAAGCCGCTGACCCCTGTAGTACGCTAGGCTTAGCCACTCGCCTTGCTTTCTGTCGGTGGGTTTATCTGCTGGGAATAGCGCAACGCTGCGCGTCTATCTGACTCTTCCAGCTTGGCAGCAGTTCCTACATGCTGTCGTCAGTCCCAGAGGTACAAAAGCTCAACGCAGCTTAGAGTCTGTATCCAGAAACCAAGGGGGAGTGCACTGTGCAGCACACAGAGGGGGAGGAGATCACAGCCCGTGTTTCAGAACCAGCTATCTGGAACCAAGAGGAAATGCAAAAAAATGGAAAATAACAGAACAAATACATGCCATCTTCTTTAGGTCTGGAAACTGAGGTGGAAAGCTTCCATTTTTGGTTTTATTATGCATTTTGAATCATTACCTTGCTTAAAGGTGACCCATAAGGCTCCCTTGAACAGGTTAGGCTGAGGCACAGAACATGCTCGCTAATTTTTTTTTCTTTTTTGCAGAGAATCATTCTTAGATAATGAGGTTTTTTTCAGAAGCTGACACTTAAAACCCCCAAAATGTTGCTGCCAGAAACTCCATCTAACTCAATGTTTACACTCGCACGTGAAAACGGCTGCAAACAGATGTGCAATTATACAACTGTACATCTTTGAAAAGCAGAAGTGGAGCCTCCTGCTCAACCAACAAGAATGTAGCAAGTGGTTTCTGGATGGCAAGTTAACAAAACACTTGTCTTTTCCAGAAGGTAAAAGTGCTGAACAAACGTGCTGAGGCAACATTTGTTGCTATGTGACGGGCCGGGCATTGCTGTGGTTGCCAGGTAACAATCGAGTGAGACTTAATAATTGTGACGTTTTAGAAACTTTCCTAGACGCCAAAAAACATTAACTCACTACCCAAAAATGTCCAGGTGCAACAGTAAAACCAGCTGACCAAACGTCCTGGAGCTCAGCCCTGGTTGCTAGGCAACAGGCTGAGGTTGCTAGGTAATGGGCGTCACATTCCAAAGGATTTTAGAACGGCTCATTTTCCACACACCAAAATACATTAACTAATTTCCAAAAACCAGCTCAGTGTTTTTTTTTTTTATTGTTTGGATTGTTTTTAGAAGCAATAGAAACAGAAATGTGCAATATGTGAATTTTGCACATTTGAAAAAGCAAAATTTGTTTTCATCCTTTCAAAGCTGGAGTAGTAGCGGTGCATGCTAGGAGAGAAAAGGCTTTTCTGGTGACATTTTCTCAACTTTTCCTGATTTTAAACGTGATACATCAATACATTTAACTTTCACCTGATCTGATTGCCGTATTCTTTAGTTTTTCCCAGACTGGAACCAACCATTTCTGACAACATTCACTAAAATATACCAAAACATTTTATACCAAATCTGTCACGCAGCTTGATTAACTGAAAGCCTTGACATTTGGTTAATCAGCAGAAACTTCATTTGAAGAGAAAGGGTTTCGATTTTAGTAGCATTAATATAAATCTAACGGCACCAATCAGATTCCATAGGATCCTCACCAACTGTTGGCATATTTATAGATTTAAAAAAGCATATAAAGCTTTATAAATGATCGTTCATGTGCTTGTCGTCTGAAAGTGTTTAACTGTTGCACAAAGGTATGCTGATGACGCCCTTGCTTCAGAGCTGGATGTCGTAAATCTGGTAGATGACACACGCAGCATACAGATAGCCTCATTAGGCCCTGATTTATGTCAGAGCAGCAGAACATCGACGACCACTAAGGCTAATGGTCCCAGGTGATGACAAGGCCTCAGAAAGGGAAAGTGAAAGTTACGTTTTGCAGCATAAAAAGGAGCAAAATGTACATTAGCAGAGGGCAAACAGCATTTTTTAACGCAGGTGCACTCAGGGGCAAAACAAACTCTTCCAGACCGGGTTGTACACGTTCAGCAGGGAGCATTGAATACAAAATACTTCCTGCATCACCTGAGGTGCACTTAGGAGCAACATGTGCTTTAGGCTGCAGCAGGGAGTCGGAATCGGTTCTGTTCTGGGCCAAATCAAGATCATGGATGATGTTAAAGGGCCGGTTGTCCCAGAATGTACTGATAAAACCTGATCACAAACTGTTAAAATATCAATTAATACTTAAAATTAAATATTACTGAACATCTTTACAGATTTTGTGATACTTTTTCTGATTTCTTTGCAATTAAAATCTAAGTTTTTATGGTAATAATTTGGAAATATTTGCACTTATTTAAATGCAACATTTTATTATTCGCTGGACTCATTGGACTATAATTTGACATCAATTAAGAGTGAGGCAACAGTTTAGTACAAGTCAAAATCTACAATAAACTTTCAGTTATTGTTGATTTTGACTGAATTTCCACAATGATTCTTAAGAAACTGGAGGGACTGATTGGTATAATTTGGTAATAAACAGATTAAAAACTGCATTGATTTGATTGATAACATAATATTTAATCTCAGTGTTTAGACTAGAATCTAGAGGGCCACATAAAAATCTACAGTGGGCCGGGTTTGGCCCAGAAAACTTTTTAAAGCCGGTGCCGGCCGCCATGTTTTTGAGTTAAAAAATGTTTAAAGTTGACAGGAAATTTGAAATTATTGCTTGATAATTATGCATTATTGGAACATTAATACATGAACACCAACTATAAAGTATTAAAAAAGGAAATAATAATAAAAAAACTAAAATAAATAAGCAATGCTAAGCCTGGTGGGGACACAAGTAAAGCCTGGTGGCCCGCCAGGCTTATAAAACACGGGGAAACCCAGGCGGGCCAGATTAGGTCCATGGGCCTCGAGCTTGACACATGTAGGCTGCAGGTCCAAGTCTGCATTTGTTTGCTTTGAATTAATGCAACTCATGTCCCCGCAGTCCGAGCCGTTAAGCCTCATTTGCATTCCAAATGTTCCCTGATTTTGTTTTCCACAAAAGGAAACAAGCAAGAGAAGATCTGGTTTCCATCACATAAATAATTAAGCTTGTGAAAACAAAAAAAAACAAAACACTAAGTGGTTTTTATTCCATGAACGCAAATGTCAAGATGAGCCTAGCGGAGAGCCGCCGCTCAGAATAAAATCACATGGACGTTTAATCAGGTGCCACAGAAAGCAGAGGCGAAGCCGGCGTGGGGTTCACGTTTTGCTCAATTAGAGGATTAGGAATGTCACACATGGTCATCTGCTTCATTCATTCATTCATTCATAACACAATGGAGCCACAGGCCTCTGGATACTGAAGCGATAACCATTGTTGAATTTCAGATCTGTTTTGCACATTTGTCCCATAGGAAGGTGGTGAAATCTGTAAAAATACCCTCACTTTTATATTTTACCCTAAAATGTGGAGGATATTTTTAATATCTCTGTTTCTTTAACAGTGTTAGTTAAAAAATGTAGGATTATGATTCCTTGATGGGATACGACAAAGATACTGAGGAATAGGAAAATGTTTCTGTTTTGTTAAAACTTTAATTCACATGTGTCAAACTCGAGGATCGAGGGCCAAATCTGGCACGCCGTAGCTTTTTATGTTGCCCTCCAAGTTACACCAATAAATCCTTCCAGTTTCTCACAAATCAGAAAAATTCACCAAAAAAATCAACAGATCCCCACATTTTTTCTGGTTTTAAATTCTGGATGAACTGATCAGTGTGAAAAGATATTCAATATTATTTAATTATAGAAACATTTATGGGATGCTAAAACAGATATTTGTTGATATTTTAACAGTCTAATGGGTTTTATCAACACGTTCTGGTACAACCGGCCCTTTAAGAACATTCAGATTTTTGATTTGACCCAAAATGAA